TGATCAGTTCAACATGGTATTAGATTTAAGTGAGCTGCAAGAATATAAACAGAGTGTGTTAATCAATTCAATGTACAGTTCTATTTCAGTGCTTTCCATCAACCATTTTTTTTCAATTTTTTTCATTTTAAACAAAGGGCATGTATACCCCCAGTAATTGTTTTCTGTTAAATGTACAGTTTCACATCCAAAACATGGCACATAATTAGAAAATGTCCCATGACGTTAGTTGCCATTTTGGACAAAATGTGCTATGCTATTATTATAAGACAACAACCTCTGATATTGCACTTGGTTCCCTCACTCGGATTTTTGATCACACAGATACATGTAGACAGTATGTCAATAATTAATGTGATAATCAACACTATTACAAAATAATATTACATACAAGTAACAATGGGTATACTTATTAGTTATGATAAGTGAGTATCCCCAACTGATGTACTGTAAAATACTTTATTTTAGCTGGAATTAATTTTCGCTGAAAAGACTTATTGGGTGTTTTGTATGAAATATTTTCACTGATTTTTGATGAGTTGAATGTAAAATATAGGAAAAAAGGTATATTAATTCGCTGGATTTTATTTTCACTGAATTCAAAGCTGAGTACAAAAGTGCCTGCCTTACATAAAACTATAGAATGGCATTTGCAACAACACAAACATCGAAACAGATGTTGTCTTTTTGCAAATAAAAATTGACTATTTGTTGTGACTTGAATAGTGGTTTGAAGTGTGGTGAAGCATTTGTTTGTTAGTCAAATTCAAATTCCTATTACTACTAAAATGTTTTTATTTTTAGCTAGATTTAATTTCCACTGAAAAGACATTTTGGCTGTTTTGTTTGGAGCTTATTTTTACTGATTTTTGATGAGATGAATGTAAAATATAGAAAAAAGGTATATTCATACATGTATATGGATTTTATTTTTTACTGAATAATTCCTTCAGTGAAAATAAATTCCAAGTGAAATTTCAGTACTTTACAGTGAAGTACAAAACGTAATCAAACTGTCTTTTTCCCCACAATTCTCAATTTATTTACCATAAGCTGTATGTACCACATATGATGAACATGTTCCATTTATAAATCATATTAAAATAATCCATTTGAAATAATCAGCCCAAGTAACTTAATTAGACATTATAGTTTTCATATACTGTAAAATACTGTACCCGTATTTTAGCTGGCATTAATTTTCGCTGAAAAGATTTTTTGGGTGGAATATGTTGTATGGAATTTATTTGCACTGATTTGAATTAAATGTAAAATATAGGAAAAAGGGTATATTTGCTGGATTTTATCACTGAATCATTCCTTCACCAAAAATAGCGAAAATTAATTCCAAGCGAAAATAAAGTATTTTATGGTAGGTTGTAGTACACCACAGGTATATGTTAGTACAATCAGAACATACCACATGTTCCATGCATTAATTAAGTGTTGTATGTTTCTATTGATGACCTTTTAAATATATTCAATGCAGTTAGAGGCCCTCCAATAGGATTTGTGCTGCCTTTGTTTGTTGTGTGTTTCGTCATGTGCGGTTTTTCCATATGTTGGCATGTTGGCCTCCAGCCTTCCTATTAATAGAGATTATCAATGTTGACAATGCCTTATTCAGAATGATTTATACCTTTGATTTATCAAAGAAAATCACTCATAATTCCCATCTTGTTTTCTTTTCAATATATACGTACAATGTAGTATGTGTTGGACTGTATGAATATTTATTATTTTGAATTCAGATTTTGGTGTTTTTACACATTTTAATTTATCCCTAATATATATTATTATCGGTCAAATATATTTGCAGATTATAATTAATTAAATCAATAATAAATTAAAGGTAATAGTTGAAAATACTCATATTGGTGATTATTTTCTCACTCATACATATTTCATATACTGGTGATATGGAATATAATAAAACATAAAATATTCAAATTGAATAGTATGCTAGTGATTTTTTTGCCCACATGAGTTGACTGTTGATTCGTGGATGGGTGGAGGCAGGGGTCACGGCAAATCATTAGTTTTATCTTAATCGAAGGCTTCACAGGATCTGTCATTGTGAAATAGATAGTTACTCAAGAATTAATGTGCTAAGATTACTTACAACAAATGGATGAGTCGGTTCTATGAAAGATGGCGAGTACACTATCAAGTGTAGAATCAACTTTGTGTTTGTGTATATGTCTGTCCATGCATGTATGCGTCTGCGTCTTCTATCTGAATCCACACATGCATGTATACACATAGACATGTTTGTGATACAAGTGACAACTGAATGAATGACCACTATTTTTGTGCTAAAAAATCATTTCTGCCATTTCAGAAGCAGATGTTAGTCATGTATGAGCGGATTCCATTCAAACCACATTCAACATTGTGGGATCTTTATGAACATTACTTTGGATTTGATACAAAATGGCCGACTACCGGTACTTCTTTTCTGAAGCATTATCTTAAATTTAAACATAACATTCAAACCTTACCCATATGTGTTACTTCACAAGATAACTGACACGCTTAAATAATGTTACTGTATTTGTTTTATTAGAAGTGCATCTCTAATAAAAATACTTAGAACCAAAATTTACATTTGTTGTGTACTGAATCATGAAAATATTACTTATTTTCACAATAGAAACAATACTGGGTCTAATGTGTAACATCCATACATATGTTTCATTTCAGTTTTGTTGCTACATGTATG